GTGTTGTTATTTTTTTTTTCATAAGGTTAACTGTCTTAAATTTTTTTATAATAGATAATTAATTTGATTTTTTTTTATTCAGGTCAATTGGGGTAGTATATTTCTTTATAATATGCCTTACTGAAGATTCATCTTGTTTGTAATTAATATGCATTTGGTTTTTGTAATAAATGTGTATGTGATTTTTTGACTGTGTGTTCGCTATCGTTATTACTTACTTTGGGGAGAAATAGTCTAATTTGGTGGTGTATAAGGTGGTTAGGGATGTCGTTGTTGATTAGTGTTTGTTTAACGTTATTAAGTTCTTTGAGGAAGAGTAGTCGGGAGGATCCTGTCTGGTGTGATCTATTTAGAAAGTTTGTTTTTTATTACTGCTATTTTGTACCTAAGTGAACATTCGCTTTTAAACTTAAGGTGGCACGAGTTTTTGCTGGTGGGTTTTTTGTATAATGATGTAATGATTTTTTGTATAATGATGAACTGATTTTTGATTAATAACAGCTTTCCCTAGGAGTGCAAAAAATGTATAATTTGTATTGTTTTAAAGTTCTTTTTTTGATAAATACTTTTACTTCTGAACAATGTTTCCTTCTACAGGTCAGTCTGAGTGCAATTCGCGTTCAATTCGTTTCTTTCCAGAACAGCACTTAGTGGATCCAGCATTTGCATGCGAATGCCTGTCCTCATGGTGGACAGTTTGCATGTAATCACAGACTTCCTACGGCACGGACTCTTTCAATGGTCAGCCATCATCAGTTCATTTAATTCTTTTTTTATTGCATCTGAAATATAAAACCATCAAAAACGTTCGACAGCAAAGAATATAATGAGTTTTGAAGAAGAGTTCGAAGCACACTTTGGTTAAAAGTTTGCTAGATAAAAGGAGAGATGCAGGTTCGATTCCTGTCGGAGGCGCAATTTCTCTTTTAGGGTTTTTTTTCAGGTGTAGGACGGTTTTATTACTAAATAAAACAGAAAATGGACAGGGTTAACAGCTCAACTTACTGTATATATATATATATATATATATATATATATATATATATATATATATGCCTTTAAATTACATGGGGGACTTAGGGCCACAAGATATCGTTGCGATGTCTTTAACAAGCCAGTTTTTAAGTGAGTAGGTGGATTGTTAGACTACTGCACAAACCCCAATCTAGAGGATCAGGTTTTGTTGTCCTCCTCGTAGGTCTGTGGAGAAGAAGCGGATTCATAGCTTTCCTAAGGGTATTAGCATGTAAATGAATATAAAGTATTCGGCTAGAATTCAACTCTCCGATTCCTCAATCCGAGCCGCTATCAATTACTCCACACTGCCTCTCTCTATCTCTCGCTTTCCCTCTCTCTCTCTATATATATATATATCTATATATATCTATATATATATATATATATGTCTGCCTTTAAATTCCTTGAGGAATATAATGTTGCGGTTTCTATAACAAGCTAGTTTTTGAGTAGGTTGCTAGTCTACTGTACAACTGGTGGATCAGGATTTAAATTCACAGTTGTCTTTCTCCTAGACCAGTTGCCGCTCAAAGTTTTAGAACCCGTTCTGTCCTGCTATTTACCCATAAGAAGAGAAGAAGAGAATTTATACCTTTCCCAAGGGTGTGAGCACGGAAGTGAATATAATGCATTCGGCTGGAATTCGAACTCGCCTCTACGATTCTTCAATCCAAGCCACTATCCATTACTCTATCCGTAACATTTTTCTTCTTAACTACATCTCTATTGTATTGGATGTAGAAGTAAAGATTGGAGATAACTTGTTTGTTTTCTAATTTTCACCGCGCTAAGAAGAACTCGATGTTTGTTCGTTTGTTAGAAAAGCTGACAAAGACTGATCGTTTCAAGTATAAGAAATATTTTTTGTTTTTTAAATTTATTTAAAACTTTACTAAAGAACCAACATTTTTGCGCGTATGTTATTGGTAAATAAGGATAAATTGAAGGTTTGATAAATTTTCTCTTTGTAACATTAATTCTGACTTCTCACTCTCACTAATATTCGTAGATTGGGCTTCTAGATTTCTAGATGTTTAGCTTATGGAGCTTTTCATATATTACAGGTCTTTTGGGTCATAAATCCCGGCATCTGATGAGATGTTACGTCTATTGTTCTTCTTGGATTTGGAAGTAAAAATTGAAGATAACTAGTTTGTTTTCTAATTTTCACCGCGATAATAAGAACTCGATCTTTGTTCGTTTGTTTGATTCATTCATTTTCTACGGTTTATCAACCTTTTGCAGGTTATTTAACGTCAGAAAATATTTTTAGACTGTAAGAGTATTGTGGGAGATAATAATGCTCAAGTGATTAATCCATAGCTTGGATGAGAATATGTGCTTCCATGGCTAATTAGAATTTGATAAACAAGAAATTTTAGGTGGATATAAAATGGGGGAACGATTTTATGTTACAATCAATATGTAAACTGACCCCTCTTTTTGTGGCCATATTCGTTTCACTAAATTTATATTCCAGAAAATGTAAATAAATCTAAAAGTCATGCCTGTATAGCTAATCAGTTTAGAGCCATTATCCATTACGCCATCCACACACCCAAGCTTACAGCACCTGTAGTCCCCAAAGGTCATCAATCTAGGCGCGATGTTACTTAACTTCGGTGACCGTACATGAACCGGTGTTTCAACGTGATTTGGCCTTAAGCATGAACTTCTGAATAAAAAATATACAATAAAAATTCGTTCATTAAAGTAACAGTGATTAAATAAAATGTTAAAAAAAATTAAAAACAGTAGGTATCACTTTTTCTTTACTATTTTTATCACGAGTCGAAAGTGAACATGAATTTTGCGGTAGCTGTACCTTGAAAAATCTATATGACCTGCAGTTAATCTCTCCTCTGAATATCAACGAACTCAACTGGAATTAAAACTCGGCTCTACGATCGGAAATTCCGAGCCATTATCCAACTCTCCAACCGAACATCTAAACTTACAACAAGCCCAAGCAGTCACCCATCTAGGTACTGACTAGTCTCGTCGTTGCTTAATATCGTTGAAGTATTGAAAGAAGTAAAAAAATAAAATGATCATCTATTGGTTCTTAAAATAGGAATCACTGCGAAATAATAACATTTCCGATTTTTTTGATTTTTTTTAATCCCATAAATATCATTATTGTCGCCCTAATATTTTCATTTCATTTCCTTGCAAACTCACATCTCCGTATTTTCTAATATTCCATCTGTTATATGCATGAATGTTCAAAAATCATTTCACACTCGACTCCTGCTGATCGTGGATAAGAAGTAGTACAAGTAAAGCTAAATTTGTCTTTTAAATATACGTTGTGAATATAGCAATGAAAATGAGGATAACAGTCCGAATAATTTAAATAATGCAAGTAATCATAATGCCTCATCCCAAAGCTATAGATCGATATTGCAGAAACGATGAACGAAAAAATTTGGAGAGTTAAAAGAAAATAACTGAGACGCTCGGAAAAGACATGGCACGACGAAATCGAACAATCTACATCGGTGGAGTAACAAAGTGGTCCGGTTCGAAATTCCAATCTCCTGAAAAAGACCGGAGCGTACAAGGGCCGAAAAGTTGTGAATATAGCAATGAAGATAAGGATGGCAGTCCGAATAATGTAAATAATGCAAATAATCGTAATACCTCATCTCAGAGATATAGACAGATATTGGAGAAAAATTCCAATCACCTGAAGAAGGCCGGAGCGTTGTGAATATGGCAATGAAGATGAGGATAACAGTCCGAATAATGTAAATAATGCAAGTAAAATACTCCCACTATTTAAAAAAAAGAATTTAATGATTATAGTAACAAATATTTATTTAATAAAAACGAAATATTGTTGTTTTGCATATGTTTGTTTAAGTTTTAATTCTGATAAAATATAAAGCTCTTGTAAAAACGTTAGAGAGAGAATTGCAAATGAACAGAGGAAGCGATAACTTCAACAATACTAAATACTGTGAGAATTTCAAAAAAATTCTAGTGCATTAAAAAATTCTATAAATAGTAAGTAACTTGACATCAAACGTAAGTGTCGCCTTTGGAAGACTTTAAGCAAGTATTCTTAAAATATCAAAAGGATACGGTGTTCTCCTCGAAAATTACAATAATTCACCAGGAAATTTCCAGGTGATGTTATACTTGTCATTACCTATTACTTTTCTTCTTTCAACTAATCGTTATGTATTTACAATCATTTTTTTTTCTTTTTTCACCTCAGCTAAACCCGTCCAAATTCTCGTATCTTCTTAGCAAGCGTCGATTTTTCTTGCTGCCAGAGAACTTGCCGATCCATACATTTGTTTGACCTCAGCCTCGATTTTGTTATCTCCCGCCAATAGACACTTGACACGAACTGAACGTCTTCTTTTGATATAAAATCTGACGACACCGGCAGCCATATTGGACAATGGACTCCTTAATACTTCTTAGCTGGCTTCGGTATGTCTCATCTGATAAGCCTTAAGATTGTTAGGAACGCGGTTTAAAAGCAACCGTATCAGTGCGAACCATTGTGGCCGTTTCCACAGATGTTCCTGCTATTGGATGTTCGAGTTTGCAAAAACATTTAGAGTTAGAAAGATGGCTTATAAATCGATCATTGGATCGAGTAAAAAGCTGGTTTTGGGCATTTGATAGCGGGCTTATCGAGAGATTTGATTGATCAGGATTTTGGAAGAAAGTGTTTGCAGTAATACCTGTACTTGTGATAAATTTATGGGATTAATCAGGAAAATATATATATATATATATATATATATATATATATATATATATATATATATATACGATGATAAAAAGGATTTATTTTGTAAAGTGCAATGTGGAAATCAAGGTAATAAATCAGAGGAAAGTACGAATGTCTGCGGTGAACGAAAAGAGAAAAAATTTGAAGACGGTAAAAACAAAGAAAAATTGAATCGAACAATGAACAAAAAAAACGGGAATAATAAAGAAAGGCGTAATGATAAAAAAAAAGATTAGAAGAATGCGAGCAGAAAGCGGAAAATAGAAAAAGACGAAGAGAAAGAGAAACATGGAAGAACGTTATGAAAGAAATTAAGCGGTAAAATCAAGGAAACAAGAGAGAGAATATGAGTAAAGGAAGGAGGATAAAATGAAGGACAAAAATGCGGCCAAATTAAATGGAAGAACGAAAGGTAAATTAAAAATGATAGGAGATGAAAGGAAGAACGGTTGGGAGGCGAAATGATGGAAAGCAGGATACGATTGATAGAAATAAAAATGCAGGAGATATGAATGAAGAAAGAGGAGAAATAACTAATAAAAAGGAATAATGAATGGAATTTAGCACTGAAAATAAAGGGGAGATAATCCGACAGTAATTACAAACTATAGAAATAAAAATATGAAATGAAAGAGAAAAATGGAGGATTATGATGAAAGAATGAAGGCGGTAAACAAGACAGGGAAAATGCTGAAAGGAAGGAGGATAAAATGAACAAAAAATGGTCAAATGAAAGAATGATGGAAGATGAATGTAGAAGAATGAAATGGAGGAAAGCAGAAGGCTTAATCGAAAGAAAAATACAGGAACAAAAAGAAAGAAAAGAAAGCAAAAATGGCTAAAAAAAAAAGAAATAATGAATTGAAGTAGGCGAATTAATCCGAGAGTGAATAAAAATATACAGGAAAGTGGGGAATAAAATAGGAAAATGAAAGAGAGTGATGAAATGTAAAGCAATGTAAGTGGAATTTAAGGACAAAATATGGTGGATGAGAAAAATGCGGGAAATAAAAGAAAGATGGTGGTGAATATGAGGATAACAATGCAGAAAACAAGATTAATAGGGTTGGAAAACGTAGGAAAGTAAACGAAAATTAAAAGATATAAGGATATAAGAAAAGGAGTAAAATGTTAAATTAGAAATACACAAAGAATAAAGGAAGAAAGGACGAATGATTACAGGGAAGACAATGGCAAATATAAAGAGAAGAAGGATGGAAAAGAAAGAGAAAAAAATAGAAAATTGAATGAATGAGGCAATAAGAATGAATGAAGGAAGGAAAGGAAGCGAAAAACAAGAAATAGGTTTAGAATAAGCGGGTGGGGTTAATAAAGAAAAGAAGACATTACGAATGAATGAAGTATGAATAAGGGAAAAGCAGGAGAAATTAAGAAAAATGCTGAAAAACGAAAGAAATAATGCATAAAACTGTTGAAATGACAGCGAAAAATGAAAGAAATGAATCAATAAAAATAAATATATAAGAAGCAAGAAAGGCGGAAAATATTAAATGAATAAGACAGTAAGAACAGTGGAAAGAATGAAGAAATGAATGAGAAAAAAAGGTGAGAAAAGAAAAAGGCTGAGAAATGTAGGAAACTAAAAGAAACTCGAAAGAAATAACACAAAAAAAACTAAATGAAAAAAAGGCGAAAAATGTTACATAAATAAGACTAAAAGAATGAAGGCTGAAAGGTTAAAAAAATGAAGACGTATAAAAGAATTGATCGCTGAAAAAAATGTATTAAAAATGAGTAGAGAAACCTGAAGGAAAAAAACGAGAAAAAATGAAGCGAAGGCAACTGGATATGAAAGAAAGCGGGAGGATAAAATGAAGGAAAAATACGAGAATCGAGAAAGTACGAAAACAATGAAGTAGGCGAACTAAGTACTGGTATAAGGCAGAAGGGAGGGTCTCTTAGATGATTAATAGAGAACAGTGTAGCTTTAAATGCGTTAAAATTAACAAGCCATCCTTTGCCCCAATTAACAACAGCTACCAATTTGATCTTATCGACGTAGCATCAAGATAGGAGTAAATTATTGTATCTTTTGTATAGACACTAAGTTGAGAGCTGATAAAAGAAGGTGAGAAAATAAATAACAAAAGAAAAAGAAAATAAAGTGGTGACAATGATGAAGAAAGAACGAGAAAAAAAAAGAAAAAAAAAACAAGCGTAAAAATGGAAGAAAGAAAATGGAAGAAAGAAAATGGAATAAATACACCAAAGCGACAAACCGGAAGTGAAGGAGAGGAAGTAAGATTAAAAGGGAACAGGTCCCAAAGCAATGGAAATAAAATTTTTGGAACAGCAATAAAGAAGATATTTGTCTCAAGAAAAAAAAGCGCGAATAATAATAATAATAATAATGTTAACAGTAATAATAATAATAATAATAATAATAATAATAATAATAATCATTTTATTTTCTTTTTTATAAAAAGTGATCAGTGGAAGTTGTCATGAAGCCATTTCTGAACTTAAGTCTATGATTGAGACCTGAAAGGAAATGTGTATACAACAGAAATCCAAGGAACTTATAATAATATTATTATTATTATTATTATTATTATTATTATTATTATTATCATCATAAAAGCCTAAAGAACGGCGAAAACAATTTGGAAAGATGAATGCTTCCAATGAAGCTGAAACGACGAAGAAAATAAGACGGGAAAATGAACAGAAGAACATGAAAGAAAAGGTGGCTGGGAAAATGGAAACGAAAAATATGCAATACCCAAGGGAAAATGGCAGAAAGAAAACAGTAAAAATAATAGCAAAAACAAACTCGAAATGAAGGGAAATAAAAGAAAATGTCGTCGTTATCAAAAAGAAAAGCAATTGAAATGGAAAAGAAAAACTTCAACTCGTTATAAGAAAGACATGAAATTATAGAATTACGGAAATAAGAAGTAAAGAATGGTCAAATAGGATTATTTTCTGAAACTCTGTTATTGACTACTTTTCATTATTCAACACATTTTTTTATACTATTATTTCCCCCTTTGTTTTTATCACAATTTTTCGACTAATACAATAAGGCCTCGGGTTAAGAAGATCCGACATACGGACAATTCGTACTTATGAACAGATTACCGTAGAGCCTATCATATTAAAGATTGGAGTTCCATAAACTAGGTAATTAAAAAGAACAGACGCACTATTTTGTGAAGCGTAGTAAAACATTGCGCAGCTTCAGCGGTTCGTCGGCTCCAGGAAGGTGAAGTCTGTTAGTTATTGTTAAGTTTGATTTCGTTGCTCTGAATGTTGTTTTTAATACGGGATATTTTTTTTTATTATTATTATAACGTTTTCTCTTATGTTCTTTTAACGATGGTTTCAGTTTTAATGTGTCTGTTACTTAATTGAGTTAAGCCAGTCTTATAGTAAGTCCAGCGGCAGATGATTTTTTCAGATGACCGCTAAATACGGCTTTTGCTGTCTCCTCTCCACATCCTTGATCTTTTTCAAGGCTCTTTTAAAAGTATCTACACATTTTTCTGTACATCAATTTGATCTCAGGTGTTTTGGTGGCGTTGTTATATGTTCGACGGTCTGTTCTCTGCAAAATCCCTTGAATTCAGCTGCCGTAAACGGTGTAGCATTATCTGTTACTATGGTGTCCTGAATTCCAGATCTGGCAAACAGTTCTATGTATTTTTTTCCTTATACCCACTACAATAGTTAAAAATAAGACTTTTTTTACAGGGGGAGATACCCAGAGCGACAAGGTGGACTCACCCGTACATGTATAAATATATGAACGGAACGTTGGACTAGGGAGATACAGCAAAACCGCTGGGATTGTTAGCGCTCTGCTTGTCAAACTGTCTGCTTTCTGGCAGCGAGGAACCCAGACGTGGCTATGCCGAAGGGCAGAGTCTCGTCTGGGAAAGTAGATAAGCTCGACCCCATTATTATGGGGTCTACGAGGAATTTTTGCCCTGGCCTATGGGTTCGAAAAACCCACGTTAAACCGGCTTTACGCCACATCCCGCTCTGGGTGAATTCGGGTAAATACCTACATACAGCAAAACCTCTGTGTTTACTGGTGCTCTGTTTGTCGACCTCTTTGTCCGGAGGCAGAGAAGAGCCCAGACGAGGGCAGAGGCTCGTCTGGAGATATAAACATACCCAACCCCGCGTACACGGGGCTAGCGGGGAATTTATTCACTGAGCCTCCGGGCTCGGAATCGCCCCACGTATAAACTGGCTTTGGGTCCCATCCTACCTCGTGGGGAGGCTAGATAATTATCGATACAGCATGTGAAAGATCCTGATTCAATGAAGACTACAACTATAACAAGATAATGTAGTGATATTTTATTGAAAAGAAACGCTATTTTAGATTTTGTTTCAATCGATTTTACTCCCAAGCAGTAAAGCCACTAGGAACCAAGGGGTTACCGTGTATGGAAGAATTAGAAAATCGAAACATTACTGTTATATAGGAATAAAGTGTCACTGCCGACACTTGAGTTTGAACAGCCACCAATTTGATTATATCAACGTAGTAACATCGAGATAGGAGTAAATTATTGTGTCTTTCGTATAGACACTAAGTTGAGAGTTGATACCATCGGGAAGATCGTCAATGAAAATTAGAAACAAAGTAGAACCAAGGACACTGGGGAGACTTGCCTTAATGAAAAAAGACTTAGAAGAAGGGCAGTTCAGGATAATATTCATTTCACGATAGTTTTTGTTTTTGTTTTTATGACAAGTCTCTTCTCAATTTGATTTCTATGCTGATGACACATCAGTTTACTCTTAACTCGATAAGCCTGATCATTTCGATAAGGTCGAATTGACAAATCTAAAAACTGACCTACAATTTGTTGCTAACTGGGGCAAAGAATGGCCTGTTAATTTAAAAAACGAACCTTTCTCTGTTAATCACCTGAGGACTGATATTGTGTAACAGTACAGTACATTGTTTCTAACGAAATGTTTATTTTTCTTAATACTTTGCTTAGCGTTTGAAAGGCATCTTCCTCTATTCCAATGAGTTTTAGGTTTTTGTTGTCATAGTTTCTATTCTCTATTAAAACACTTCGCAGATATTTAAATTTTGGACTTGCTTGATTTTGCATGACAATTAAAAAAATTATAACTGCTTAAAGCCAGCCACAGATTCCTATTTTAATTATCTCTGAATTCATACAGCCACTTGGGAAACATATTTGAGAGGTTTCCCATTGGCTTCCAAGAATGCTAACACGTAACAGAAACCTGATGATAGCCAGAGGCGTAAACAGCCGAAAAAATTAAATAAAATGGTGATCATGGTTCTCCATGACTTTTGTTTAATATGGATAAATCTTCAAGACCATTTATGTCTGTTTAGTTCGATAAGTTCAAATTGGCAGGTGATCCCAAAAATAAGCTACAGTGTGTTGTTAACTGGAGCAAGGAATGGCCTGTTATCTTGAACGCCTCCAAAGTAGTACAGTGTTTTTTTTTCTTTAGTTTTTGGTTCTCAAAGGTTAGAAATTCCGGGATTTACCTGCAATGATATGTGTAAGGTCCCAGTTTACTCTACTATTTAATCAATAGCTTGGAAGTGTTTTAAGAGAAAAAGGAAAGTATGACACCGAAATCCGAAAGTACACTGGAATAGCAGAGGATTCCTTCCAAAAAGTAAGCAAAATAGTTATAAAAAAAAAAAAGAAGGAAAATGTCTTTAGAAACAATGAAAAAAGGTTTTCTGAATTGCTGTGCAATAACGGTCATTCTATAAGACAGTGAACACTGGACTATTTCATCACAGACGACTTGCAGCAAGAGAAATTCGGTTGAACAAAAGGATGTTGACAATCAACGTAATCAACGAAGTCCTAAGGATAATGAAAACAAGAAGGACGCTTATACTTAGAATCAGAGAGAAACAGCTTAAAATTCGTAGGACACCTATTAGGAAAGAGGGCTTGTGAAATTTGATGGTCACAGGTTATATTGCAGACAAAGGTGACAAAGGAAATAAGCGGGCCGCCTACTTGACGAGCTTCTACGAGTAGATGACAGCAATGGGAAAGAAAGCGATAAAAAGAATAACATCGCTAAGTTTTACAAATTATAGGAAGTTGTGGAGAGACGTTATATCCTGCCTCCTGAAGGAAGACTGCACTTAGAATACACGGCCGACTTGCCTTAGATAGCGAAAAGATGCAAAAACTGAGACGCTAGAGTTTCAAATATATTGAATAAATAAGCAAGTGAATATTTATGTGACATTATCTATCTATCGATCTATCTATCTATTTTTTCTATATGTTGTGGTACGATCCACCTAATTTTCATAGTGGAGTACTGACCATATAAATATGGGTTGGTACCGGGAAGACGGGGGAGGAAGAAGAGATGCAATCCAGAGACTCTGCCCGACTGTGACTAAGTCAACCCATTCTACTGGAACGGTCTTCCCAAGAATATACCAAAACTATCTGTAAATATTGTGTAACCTTTCTTGTGTCAATACATTTTGTTTAAGTACATTTTGTGTTGTATTATTATTATTCCATGTTTTATTCAAGTTTCAACACTATATATATATATATATATATATATATATATATATATATATATATATATATACTAAAGTCTGTGATTGCGTGCGTGTTTGGGTGGTGCCTCCGTCCGGCACATTTAAATCAAGTGATTTAAAAATATGAGTTGTTTATGCAGTAAGTAGTTTTATTTAAACGTCCTTCAATTTTTTTAATTAAAATATTTTTAAAGACAGACGTAAAGAGATGCCGCTTTGCTGTTTCGTCCAGTTGTTTGTAGAATAGTTATTTATATTTCAGCTTTCTTTAAACTAACAACATTTTAAATATTTAAATATATTTTTAAGTTAATCTGATTTTAAAATTATTTTAAGTGAATAAGATTTAAAAACAGCTGTTGTTTATACAGTATTTTATTTTAACTTTCTTTGTGGATTCAAACATTTCCCAAGGGTATTTGCGCATTAGAGCATATAACGAACCCGATTGGAATTGGAACTTAGGTCTTCGCACATCCAAGCTTACAGAAACTGGTATTTCCTAGCGTTTCCCCATCTTGGTACTGACTAGATACGAGGTTGCTTAACTTCGGTGATCTTACGAGAACAGGTGCCGGCAAGTATGTTTTTAAAAAGAAAGATATGTAGAATCCGTTAACTGCCAATAAGCAGGAATTAAAATTTTTTAACATGTTTTTTTTTTTTGGGAACATATTCCTTGCTATCCTCATCATATTTTTTTTCGATAATAGCATATTTTAACGCAAAGTTAGAAATGTTTGGAGCGCGTTGATATACAAGCATTCGTCCATTGGTAGCCATTTTTAGCATCGTGCGAGAAGTGGTTTTCCAGGCAGTGTTTTATCATTTGTAAAGAGATATTAAAATTTTGAATTTTCTTCTGAAAATTGATTTCCTTCTATGTGTTTTTGTCGGCCTTTCTACAACATTTTAGGCCCAAAGTTTCATCGCAACCACTCGCCCGTCAATCTACGGCAAACACTAAACACTGCTGATCAGAAATAAAGGAGAAAGCTTCCAGGCATGACTCGGACCGGTATACATCTTACTTCGAGATGTCTGTCTCTAAGAGTAACGATCCATCAAGAACGACAGAATTTTAAGAAAGGAAAACGTAATGCAATAAAAAAAGCTGAAAACTGAATGAAACGTTAAAACAAAAGAAAAATAACAAAGGAATGAAAGGGAATGGGGGAATGACAACAAAGAAGAAATTAAGAAAAATGAAAAATATCTAAAATGAAGAAAAAGAATGAAATAATTTGAAAAATTTTCCTTCTTTTCCTTCATCTTATTTCTTGGACATGTGGGAGAGTAAAAGGTTTTGGAAAATAGACAGGAAAAATTCGGAGACAATGAGAACAATTAATTGTTGGTGACGAAATGTCTGGAAAATTCTGGATAAATCTTCATGGAATAATCTTGACATTTTTTAATCTCCTTCAAAGTCGTTGCCTTTCAGAATTGTGAAGTATTTATGTATAAGGATTCAGTCCGTCCATTTTTTTCTCATCTGCCACTATGTGTTGGCGGATATTTTGAGGAAGAAGCTATTTCTCAAGAAAATCCGATTATAACGACGACATACATTCTAGAATAAATACACATGCACATATAAACAAATATACACACAGACAACTTTATGTACGTACGTGCACAAACTATCTATCTGTCTGTCTATCTATCTATTTATGCAGATAGATAGATAGAAAGAAAGAACGGGATAGATAGATAGATAGATAGATAGATAGATAGATAGATAGATATACATGGAAAGACAGAAATAGATAGATATGAAACGACTGGCATATATAGATAGATAGATATGAAAAGACATATATATATATATATATATATATATATATATATATAAACACTAAAAATTCCCATGTTTCAAAACTAAAACTAAATTATAAATATAATTGTTAAAATTAAACTCAAAATCAAAAGTTTTGAAACATGGAAAGTTTCTATTGCGATGGAATCATATATTTAAAAAGAAAATAATTATATTTTGCTCTACTGTTTTGTATCGAGCACTGTTTTTTAAATTGAAAATAAAATAACTGCAAAGAACCACGAATTTTAAATCCTACTGTTCGGTTGCTACTGTTATTATTGATGAATCTGTGTGGAAAAGGGTTAAAAGTTTTGGGAGACACCAGGAAATTCTTCTCGCCACTGTCAAACGGAGAAAAAATGTCATGGTTTGGACACATTGCAAGGCAGGTGAGCCTTTGCAAGACCATCATACAAAGTCCTGAAAAGGACAGCTTTTGTTGTCGTTGAAAAGTGTTGTCCTGAAAAAAAAGACAGCTTTTGTTGTCGTTGAAAAGTGTTGTCCTGAAAAAAACATTTTTGTTGTCGTTGAAGAGTGTTGTCCTGAAAAAAACATTTTTGTTGTCGTTGAAAAGTGTTGTCCTGAAAAAATAGTTTTTGTTGTCGTTGAAAAGTGTTGTCCTGAAAAAACATTTTTGTTGTCGTTGAAAAGTGTTGTCCTGAAAAAATAGCTTTGTTGTCGTTGAAAAGTGTTGTCCTGAAAAAGACAGCTTTGTTGTCGTTGAAAAGTGTTGTCCTCCTTTTTGTTGTGGTTGAAAAGGTTGTCCTGAAAAAAGACATTTTTGTTGTCGTTGAAAAGTGTTGTCCTGAAAAATAGACATTTTTGTTTCGTTTCCTGAAAAGATGTGAAAAGACAGTTTTGTTGTCCTGAAAAGTGTTGTCCTGAAAAAGGATTTTTTGTTGTCGTTGAAAGAGTGTTGTCCTGAAAAAGACAGTTTTTGTTGTCGTTGAAAGTGTTGTCCTGAAAAAATAGTTTTTGTTGTCGTTGAAGAGTGTTGTCCTGAAAAAACAAAGTTTTGTTGTCGTTGAAAAGTGTTGTCCTGAAAAAGGATATTTTTTGTTTGTCGTTGAAGAGTGTTGTCCTGAAAAGGACAGTTTTTTTGTTTTGTTGTGGTTGAAAAGTGTTGTCCTGAAAAGACAGTTTTGTTGAAAAGTGTTGTCCTGAAAAAGACATTTTTGTTGTCGTTGAAAAGTGTTGTCCTGAAAAAAAAGGACAGTTTTGTTGTGTTGAAAAGTGTTGTCCTGAAAAAGGACAGTTTTGTTGTCGTTGAAAAGTGTTGTCCTGAAAAAAAATACAGTTTTGTTGTCGTTGAAAAGTGTTGTCCTGAAAAAGGACAGTTTTGTTGTCGTTGAAAGTGTTGTCCTGAAAAGGACAGTTTTGTCGTTGAAAAGTGTTGTCCTGAAAAAACACTTTTTGTCCTGAAAAGTGTTGTCCTGAAAAGGACAGTTTTGATTTTTGAAAAGTTTGTCATTTTTGAAAAAAGTGTTGTCCTGAAAAAAGGACAGTTTTGTTGTCGTTGAAAAGTGTTGTCCTGAAAAGACAGTTTTGTTGTCGTTGAAAAGTGTTGTCCTGAAAAGACAGTTTGTTGTCGTTGAAGAGTGTTGTCCTGAAAAAGACAGTTTTGTTGTCGTTGAAAAGTGTTGTCCTGAAAAAAAGACAGTTTTGTTGTCGTTGAAGAGTGTTGTCCTGAAAAACAGTTTTTGTTGTCGTTGAAGAAAAAAAGAGTTTGTCCTGAAAAAAAGACAGTTTTGTTGTCGTTGAAAAAGTGTTGTCCTGAAAAAAAAGACAGTTTTTTTTGTTGTCGTTGAAGAGTGTTGTCCTGAAAAAACAGTTTTGTTCGTCATTGAAGAGTGTTGTCCTGAAAAAACACAGTTTTGTTTCGTTTGAAGAAGTGTTGTCCTGAAAAGGAAAAAAAGGTTGTCCTGAAAAAGACAGTTTTGTTGTCGTTGAAGAGTGTTGTCCTGAAAAGGACAGTTTTGTTGTCGTTGAAAGAGCGTTGTCCTGAAAAAAACAGTTTTTGTTGTCGTTGAAGAGTGTTGTCCTGAAAAGACAGTTTTTGTTGTCGTTGAAGAGTGTTGTCCTGAAAAAGAGACAGTTTTGTAGTCACTGAAAAGTGTTGTCCTGAAAAAAGTCCTGAAAAAAGTTTTGTAGTCGTTGAAAAGAGTGTTGTCCTGAAAAAAACAGACATGTTTTTTAGTCGTTGAAGAGTGTTGTCCTGAAAAAGACAGTTTTGTTGTCGTTGAAGAGTGTTGTCCTGAAAAAAAAGACAGTTTTGTTGTCGTTGAAAAGTGTTGTCCTGAAAAAACAGTTTTTTGTCGTTGAAAAGTCATTGAAAAAGATGTTGTCCTTGAAAAGGACAGTTTTTAGTTGTCGTTGAAAAGTGTTGTCCTGAAAAAAACAGTTTTGTAGTCGTCTGAAAAAGCATTTTGTCCTGAAAAGAAAGTTTTGTTGTCGTTGAAGAGTGTTGTCCTGAAAAAAAGACAGTTTTGTTGTCGTTGAAGAGTGTTGTCCTGAAAAAGACAGTTTTGTTGTCGTTGAAAAGTGTTGTCCTGAAAAAAACAGTTTTGTTGTCGTTGAAGAGTGTTGTCCTGAAAAGGACAGTTTTGTTTGTTGTCGTTGAAAAGAGTGTTGTCCTGAAAAAACAGTTTTTAGTCGTTGAAAAGTGTTGTCCTGAAAAAATAGACATTTTGTTGTCGTTGAAAAGTGTTGTCCTGAAAAGGACAGTTTTGTTGTCGTTGAAGAGTGTTGTCCTGAAAAAAAGACAGTTTTTGTCATTGTCGTGTGAAAAAGAGCGTTGTTGTCCTGAAAAAATCCTGAAAAAAAGACAGTTTTTTGTAGTCGTCCTGAAGAGTGTTGTCCTGAAAAGGACAGTTTTGTTGTCGTTGAAAAGTGTTGTCCTGAAAAGGACAGTTTTTGTTGTCCGTTGAAAAAAAGACATTTTTGTTGTGTTGTCCTGAAAAAAGACAGTTTTTGTTGTCGTTGAAAAGTGTTGTCCTGAAAAGGACAGTTTTGTTGTCGTTGAAAAGTGTTGTCCTGAAAAAGACAGTTTTGTTGTCGTTGAAGAGTGTTGTCCTGAAAAGGACAGTTTTGTTGTCGTTGAAAAGTGTTGTCCTGAAAAAGGACAGTTTTGTTGTCGTTGAAAAAGTGTTGTCCTGAAAAGGACAGTTTTGTAGTCGTTGAAAAGTGTTGTCCTGAAAAACAGACAGTTTTGTCCTGAAAAGGACAGTTTTTTTAGTCGTTGAAAAGTGTTGTCCTGAAAAAGGACAGTTTTGTAGTCGTTGAAGAGTTGTGTCCTGAAAAACAGTTTTGTAGTCGTTGAAGAGTGTTGTCCTGAAAAGGACAGTTTTGTTGTCGTTGAAGAGTGTTGTCCTGAAAAAAAACAGTTTTGTTGAAGAGCGTTGTCCTGAAAAGACATTTGTCCTGAAAAAGTGTTGTCCTGAAAAAGACAGTTTTGTTGTCGTTGAAAGTGTTGTCCTGAAAAGACAGTTTTGTTGTCGTTGAAAAGTGTTGTCCTGAAAAAAAGACAGTTTTTGTAGTCATTGAAGAGTGTTGTCCTGAAAAGGACAGTTTTTGTTGTCGTTGAAAAAAGTTGTCCTGAAAAAGACAGTTTTGTTGTCGTTGAAGAAGTGTTGTCCTGAAAAGGACAGTTTTGTAGTCGTTGAAAAGTGTTGTCCTGAAAAAGACAGTTTTGTAGTCGTTGAAGAGCGTTGTCCTGAAAAAGGACAGTTTTTGTTGTCGTTGAAGAGCGTTGTCCTGAAAAAAACACAGTTTTGTCCTTGAAAGGACACGAAAGGTTTTTTCCTGAAAAGACAGTTTCATTGTCCTGAAAAAGACATTTTTTCGTTGAAAGAAGTGTTGTCCTGAAAAAAGACAGTTTTTGTAGTCGTTGAAAAGTGTTGTCCTGAAAAAAGACAGTTTTTGTTGTCGTTGAAGAGTGTTGTCCTGAAAAAGGACAGTTTTGTTGTCGTTGAAAGTGTTGTCCTGAAAAAGACAGTTTTTTGTTGTCGTGTTGAAAAAAGACAGTTTTGTTGTTGTCCTGAAAAAAACAGACAGTTTTGTAGTCGTGTTGAAGAGTGTTGTCCTGAAAAAAGACAGTTTTGTTGTCGTTGAAAAGTGTTGTCCTGAAAAAGACTTTTTTGAAAAGGACAGTTTTTTTGTTGTGGTTGAAAGTGTTGTCTTGAAAAAGACAGTTTTGTTGTCCTTGAAAAGTGTTGTCCTGAAAAAAAAGACAGTTTTGTTGTCGTTGAAGAGTGTTGTCCTGAAAAAAAGACAGTTTTGTTGTCGTTGAAAAGTGTTGTCCTGAAAAAAAAACAGTTTTGTAGTCGTTGAAAAGTGTTGTCCTGAAAAGGACAGTTTTGTTGTCGTTGAAAAGTGTTGTCCTGAAAAAGGACAGTTTGTAGTCGTTGAAGAGTGTTGTCCTGAAAAGGACAGTTTTGTTGTCGTTGAAAAGTGTTGTCCTGAAAAAGACAGTTTTGTTGTCGTTGAAGAGTGTTGTCCTGAAAAAGTTGTAGTTTTTGTTTGTCGCATTTTTGAAGTTGAAAAGTGTTGTCCTGAAAAAAATACAGTTTTGTTGTCGTTGAAAGAGTGTTGTCTGAAAAAGACAGTTTTTGTTGTCGTTGAAAAGTGTTGTCCTGAAAAAAGACAGTTTTGTTGTCGTTGAAGAGTGTTGTCCTGAAAAGGACAGTTTTGTTGTCGTTGAAGAGTGTTGTCCTGAAAAAGACAGTTTTTTGTGTGAAAAGTGTTGTTGAAAAGTTTGTTGTCCTTTCCTGAAAAAGATTTTGTTTGTCGTTGAAGAGTGTTGTCCTGAAAAGGACACATTTTTTGTAGTCGTTGAAGAGCGTTGTCCTGAAAAAGGACAGTTTTGTTGTCGTTGAAGAGTGTTGTCCTGAAAAAACACAGTTTTGTTGTCGTTGAAGAGTGTTGTCCTGAAAAAGACATTTTGTTTTTGTCATTGTCGTTGAAAGAGCGT